ATCACATGGTTGATCCTTCTGTGTAGCAATAGAGGTAAGAAATTGGTTGAGAAGTGGAATTTTAGAGTGAGATACATGTCCTAGTCTAAAATGCCACAAATCAAAGGTGGATGTAGAGGCAGCAAAAATCAATTTAGGAGGATGTGATGCTTGAAAGGTAATAGAGTCCATTGTGAAGGCTAGCAGAACCAATCACTCTCTTCTGATCCAAATCCTGTATAAGACAAGTAGTGGATTGAAAGGATAAGCTTAGTGGTGCGGTGGAGGTCAGTCTGCTCACAGACAGGAGGTTAAAGGTAAAGTGAGGAACAAACAGGGCATTTTGTAGGGTTAAGGCATCATGGCATTTGGTTGTGCCAGTGTGAGTTGCCTGGAGTTGAGCTCCAGTGGGGAGAGTGATGAACACATTTGACAAAGGCTGTGGATTTGTTAAGTAGTCTAAGGAGCAGACTATGCGGTCTAAAGCTCCAGTATCAACAATCCATGGTTTTTGTAGGTTGGTGGTAGCATTCAAGATAGGAATTGAGAGAGAAGGAGTTGGAAGTATACCTTTGTTGGTAACAAAAGCAGCAGCAGAGAATGAAGGTTGGTTCTTCTGAGCATTCATCAGACTCATGAGTTTGTCATAGTATGCTCTTGTGAGCTTGACTTCATCTGATGAAGAAGTGCTAGTGACAACATTGGCTGCAGGAGGTCGACCTCTTCTAGTACCATAAGTTGGATATTTAGGCACAAAGTTCTGTGGATACCCATTTTTCTGAAAGCACTTGTCCTCTGTATGGCCTCTTCTTCTGCAATAAGTACAAGTGATTGGAGTGCTGCTTGAAGTAAAGGAAGGCTTGGTCATTCTTGGAGGCCAGCCATGCTTTTGAAAGCATATATCCTCAGTATGCCCTTCTCGTTTGTAGAATCTGCAGTAGGGTGGTTTAGCAGAGGAGTTGAATCTTCTGTTTCCTCCTTGAATGGCAAATACTGACTGGTCTGTGTGGAGAGATGCCACCATTTTGTTGGATTGAGAACCATAGATATGTCTTTCATGTTGCAACATTCTTTGGAAAACTCGATTGATGTTGGGAAGTTCATCACCAAACAGCACTTGTGCTCTGACTCCAGAGAAGTTTTCATTTAAACCTCGAAGAAACTTGATTACATAACTAGTTTCTTGATATTGAAGAACTCTTGTCATTGCAACACAGTCAATGTGGCTAGTAGGTGTACAGGTACATGGAAGAAGTGGCTGATAGTTCTCTAACTCATCCTTTAGAGTAATGAGTTTTCCATAGTAGTCAGTAACAGTTTGGTTACCTTGTTGTAGGGAGGAAAGTGCTTCTTCAAGCTCTGCAATGCGAATGAGATCATTAGATCCATAACGAGTTTGTAAGCTCTTTCATGCTTCTGAAGCTGTTTTGCAGGCTAGAATGGTCTTTCGAATCTCTGAAGAAGTGGACTGTTGGATCCAGCTGAGGATCATAACGTTGTTGCGAGTCCAGGCACCATACCTTGCATCAGTGGCTGCTGGCTCTGTGAGTGTCCCATTGATGAATCCGAGTTTGTTTTTTGCAGCAAGAGCATTGAACATTGCCCTGCTCCAATCATTGTAATTTGTGGCTGTGAGCTTCTCAGCAACAAGGAGAGCTCCAGGTTGCTCTGATCCGTGAAGAAAGAAGGGGTCAGAAGAAGGATCCACAACATTTGGCTGTGGATCAGGTGGGAGCTGAGCTTCATTTTCAGCCATTGTAGAAGAGTGGCGGCTAGGGTTTTATTAGAGGCTCTGATACTATAGCAAAGGAAATTTGGAGTGATAAAACCTAGCTCACTACTTTTCTCATTACTTTCACTGTCAATTTATAGGCAGAACAAGGAAGAAGATGACAAATTCCATACATCTGTTTTGTAGCTTGGAATGGAAACAACTACTGGCTTGGAACGAAAGGAAATACAAGTATCAACTGGGAAAGAACAATACGCAGCTCATTACACCAAATGACATCGCAACAAGAGCATCTTGACTTGGTTCTAAACGACAGCGCAGCGGGAAAGGAAGGAAACGGCAGCGCAGCGAAAAGTCCCGGAAAGAGAGAGGAACAAGTCGCAGGGAAGATGACCGTTGAAATTGATTTTCAATCTGTTAATATCTTAGCAGAATCGAAAGAACTACACAAGAATTCTGTTAATGTGGTATCGTTAGTATGACACTAGTTTACGGAGAGTATCGTATAATTTACATCGATATTTATAGGATTGCTATAAAAACCCATAATTAAAATTACACTTTGATACATTAGACGTGTTCAATATGAGAGAATACAATTAAGGATGAGATAAAGGATCCATCTTCATAAAGTTTGTGAGGTTTTTAACGAAATTATGGTAAAATGAAACCTTGTTCTCAGTTAAACCAGAGAACTCTTCCCATATATAGGAGAAGCCATATGTAACTCACATAATGGTGAGCTAAGTTCTACCTTAATCGAGTCAAGGGTGGTATAAATTTTCACCAATTTTGTAGTTAGCTATGATTTTATGTGTGTTCATAGGCGGAGCTAGCCCATTTTGGCCTTTGCTCCGGGATAGGGGTAATTTTTGGAAGAGGAAAAAAAATACCACACCTACAAATAACATAAGGATGTTTTGTCACTATATCGTAACTTATTACTTATTCATTAATTGCTAAAAATTAGTTAATTGATTCCATTCATGACACTATTATTCGACAACAGCTTGTACATGATGAATTAGCTCGATCAATGGTGGAGATGAAAGTTTATAAGTCATATATCCGTAAGTTTATTTGCTTATGAAACTAGAAAGAGCATTTTTAGCTTCAGTTGTATTAAGAACAACTTCAAAGTTGGATTGACGATCAGTTTGCTAATGACTATTTAATGGGATACACTGAAAGAGACTTGCTTAAAAATGTACACAACGAATGTATTTTGCATGTGTTTCGGAATACGAAAACTCGTCGTGGTTGTTTGTGCAAAATATAATTGTATTAGTTGATTTTTTTATCTATGAATGAATTATTTTAATATTATTACTTTTAATTATATTTATTAAATTTTTATCAACTATATATTTATGTTTTGAAAAAAGGACAGGGTAGTTTCTAATCCTGTCTCCGCCAATGTGTTCGGTTAGCAACTCGGCTGTAATTTTCACCAAGCTTTCGTTTTTCGTTTTCCACAGAAGTGTTGGAAAGTTCATACGAGTATCCAGAAGAAAAAGTTCTTGATCGGAGTGAATTACTCATAACATTCATTCATTCATATCCCTCATCAGTCCATTTCACAGCTCTTTCCTCTTTACTGCAAAACCCTCCAAAGTACCATCGACGACGTACCCCAGGTATTGAATCCTAACGTTAAAGTACAGTCCTGACCAATGAGACCTCGCCACGCAGTTAAACGAAAGTACGTTACTCCACAGGTGCGGTTGACATCTGATAACGACGACGGCGCGCAATTATAGTAGCGGCAGGTTGTTTCTTCTGCGGCAGCTCACGAACGAAAAGTACGTACCCATGCATGCTCTCGTGTACCGCTTTCACATGCTGGTCGATCTTAAATGGATTGCTAGCTACTTCATGAGCATAAAAGGCGCAGCAAGTCGAGTGTGCCATGCTAAATTATACCAAAATATATTATATGTGAGTAATTACTGTGATTTGAGAGGTGACACAAACATGACATAATGCACAATTAAGACGTATACTTAAGCGCCTGCGCCATGAGTTGGACGTGTACTCTCTTCTGCCGTTTCTTGGAAGCTTTGATCATTGACAAGTATGGGTGAGAAGGGGGTGTTTTGTTAAGAATAGATCGGGATAACTGACAATGAAAAAATAAAAAAATAAAAAAAAGAGTATGTAGATTGATCTGGGTTCACTAACACATTGTGTGTTAGTCAGTACACAAGCATGATGATTGTTTACGTAAACAATTGTTTGAACTCTTATGTAAGGAGTAGCTCTTAGATTCTCAGCTTTAGGTAATGTATTTATATCTAACATATTAGTTGTAGAATGGTATTATGCAACTCTTAGAAAATAAATAAACGTTTATGTAATGAATATTTACACTAAGTTACATAAAATGCCAATCTCTTACTTAAGCATTATGTTCTTTTACGATTAAAATGTTACATAAAAATAATTATCATTTCATAAAATTCAACATAATTATATATGTAATAAATTTGGAATCAGTGTAGAGTTATTTACCTTTATTTGCTTTATCTTCCTACTTGTAACATCCCGATTTTTCCTGACCAAGATATTGTAGAATTTGAGCAATACCCTGCACATTTTTTTTTCTTTTTCGGATCATGATAACTTTCTATGATGGCAGGCACACATCTTTGCACTGCTCCACCTAAGCACGTTTAACTTCAAAGTTCTTATAAGAACTCATTCATTTCACTCTAAAACGCGTATTGTTAGTTAAAGCTGAATATTCTTTATGAATCATAGATCTCTCATGTTTTGTCGATGTGAGATCTTCCTAAGGGGTTATATACACCCCTTTGGAACTCAACGTCTTCATTGTTGTTTGCCCCACCATCGCCTAAGAGGGACGCAGAAAGGGCTATGATATCACTAGTAACATCATGCCCTTTCCTGACCAAGATATTATTCTTTAGGGCCTACCCCACACAGTTTTTCTTTTAGATGCATCATGATGATTTCCCAAGAGGCCACCCATTTTTGCACTGCTCCATACTAAACATGCTTAACTTCAGTGTTCTTATAAGAACTCATCCATTTCACCAAAAAATGCATCTTGTTATTTAAGGTTGATATTCTTTATGAATCATAGATCGCTCTCTGTACTTTATCAGTTTGAGATTTGTCTAAGGTGTTACACTACTTGTTAGTTATTTTTGTCAATGACTTAAAATGTGGTTGACAATTACCACTTTCAATGATTCATACTAACCCAAGCATTTAACTAGGTATAAACTAAAATCACGAAGGGAACCTCGCCTTTTATAATATACTAATAAAATGTATCATGTTATTGTTCTACATAAAGATATCTCATTAGAATTATCCGGAATGTCATATCGATAGAAACCATATCTAGGACGTTCTTGGTAGGGTTAGGGAATTATAAATGGGGCTTGCTATTTGCCGCCAACCAAAAAAAAAAGTATATATATACATCTTTGGTTAATGAGTTTCACAATCTACAACATATCCAACTTTCAGAAAACGTATTGAATCAGAAATATTCAACGCTCGCCGGAAAAGTCGCCGGAAAATCATCGGGAAAGCCTATCCTCGACATATACTGCGTACACGCATCAATGAATCATCACTAAGCAGATGCGTAATTTTTATGTAGTTTCGAACAATTTTTCCGACGATTTGAAACGAACAGACTGTGGGCCGAAAAATTCCGGCGGCCGGAACCTGGCCGGGCCGAAAAATTCCGGTGGCCGGAACCTGGCCGGGCCGAAAAATTCCGGCGGCCGGAACCAGGCTGAGCCACAATATATTTTCGGCTCAGCCTGGCTCCGGCCGCCGGAATTTTTCGGCCCGGCCAGGTTTCAGCCACCGGAATTTTTCGGCCGGGCCAGGTTCCGGCCGCCGGAATTTTTCGGCCCACCGTCTGTTTTTGGAATTTTTCGGAAAAATTCAATTTTAGGAGTTGAATTTAGAGTTTAGGAGTTGAATTTAGCGTTTAAGAGTTGAATTTAGCGTGTAAGAATTGAATTTAGAGTTTAGGAGTTGAATTTAGCGGTTAAGACTTGAAATTAGCGTTTAGGTTCACAGGAATATTGATGTATTATATTGTAATTGTAGGAAAAATGTCAGGGTTGTTACCGGCCGATCATGATTACACACAGGAATTTGAGAATGGGATCCATTATGCAAGTGTGAAGTTAGCTGAGTTAGCTGCAAGAACAATCGCTCAGGAGTGTGGGTTCTTTATTGTTAGAGGAGCATGGAAACCGAATACTGCTGGACTGCATCCTGTTACTGCCCTATGTATGTATTGCGACAGAAGTAGTAGGATCGTTAAGTCTTATAAACCAGACCCTACGAAGGAGACGCGTGGGAATATTAGTTCGAAGGGTACTGGTTGCCAGTTTCAGATATGTATAAAGGAAGTATGGCAAAAGGATGGTCCAAACACATGGGTCATAGTGGCAGTGACAAGTCGTGAAACCGGAGCTAATAGAGGGTTTCACAACCATGAAAAGGTGTTGTATCCAGAACATCACCGACACAACAAACAGTTTAGTGAGGCTGAAAAAGAGAGGTTAAGATTAATGAGGAAGGCGGGGGTGAGACCAAATCAGCAGAAGACGACACTCAATACTGAAGGGGGTGTGCATCATGATATCAAACAGATGTACAACATAAATTCCAAGACAAGATTGGATGAGATGGGTGAAATGGATGCGATACAGTTTGCGCTTCACGGAGCTGAACATCGTGGGTACCATATCTGTTTGGAAAAGGACTCTAATAATGTGCTCACAAATCTGTTTTTTGCGCACCCGACGTCCATTCAGATGTTGCATGCATGGCCGTACGTCATCCTCATTGACTCGACCTACAAGACCAACAGGTACGGCTGGCCATGGGTTGAGATTATTGAGGTTACTCCAATCAAGAAGAATTTCAACATTGCATGTGCAATTATTAAGCAGGAAACAAAGGAAACATATGAGTGGCTGTTGCGATGTATTAAAGGGTTGCTCGGTGATACGGTTCCGAATGTCATTGTGATAGACAAAGAAGGTGGTTTGCTTGCTTCTATTCCTGTGGTCTTCCCTCTCCCACATACTGTCCACCTACTATGTTTATGGCACGTCAACAACTGTGTGAAGCAAAAGTTTGAAGTGTTACTGGGTGGAATTGCAAAAAGAGAGGTAGCACAAGCGGTATGGAAGAAATATTTCGACAAAGCTGCATGGAGTTGAACTCAAGAGGGTTTTCTTCAAAAGATTAATGAGTTTGAGAGGGTCTGGACAGTGAAGAACATAAAAATGGTCGACTACGTGTGAAGTGAGTGGTTGCCTCATCAAACAATGTGGGCAAAGCATCCCATGCAGCATCAAAACTCTCAGGAATCCGAATGACATATCCACCAGGTGCCTCTGGTAGGTCTTCTCGCTGAGGACGCGAAGGGGCAGGTGGTACCATCTGTCGGTATCCAAACTGTCGGAGGCAACGGGCTGGATCATAGAACTCGCCTATGTCAGCGAACCGGATGACTCCAGTGTACAAAGAGCGACGCACTGCCTGATGAGGCCTTTGATGGAAAGATGTCCAAGACACATCAGAAGGGGTCAAGCTGTCAAGAGCTCGACGGTAGAACGCCAACCTCCCACTGGAATCAGCCACAGAACCAGGTGTCGGCTGCCCAACCCATCGTGAAGCCCAAGCATCATCAGGTCCAACAGCGGCAGGCTCGAAGTGAGATGGCCTGAAACCCGGAAAGTACTCGTAGATCCAGCACTGCAGAAGTGTGAGACAACCAGCCATCCCCCTGGCACCAGCACGAGACGCCTGGCCAAGGTATCTGTACAACCAAGCAAGTGTACCTGACGCCCAACTATACTGATCTAACTCCTCCAACTCGTCCAAAAATAGGTTCACCACCGATCGAACCCTGTCTCTACTCTTGTCCACAAACAAAGTGGACCCCAACAGCAACAACAAGTACGACTGCGCCTCTATCACATGTGTCCCGTGGCTCTGCAAGTATCTGGACGCCATCTCTGCAAGAAAACCACCCTTCTCGTACCACTTACTCCTATTATTATATCCAGGGACCTCCGAACGACCACTCAACTGCTCTGAGTTCATCCCAAGAAGCGCACACAAACCCGCCTCCGGATGGTCAAGCTGCGCAGAACTCCTACTCATCAGTCGTCCCTCAACAGGAATCTGCAGTAAGTACTGAACATCGTGGAGGAGGATAGTCATCTCTCCAAAAGGCAAGTGGAAGGTGTTCGTTTCCGGCTGCCACCTCTCCACAAAAGCTGAGATCAAAGCCTCGTCAATCTCTATCTTGCGGAACATAGAGTAGATCAGGTGTTGTAGACCTGACTGCGCCACCAGATCCTCCGCCTTAACATGACTAAACACGTAGCTACTCAGATCAGAAACCGCCGATGTACGGCTGTAGCAACTGATGACCCCTCGATCTCCAGCCCCCGTCCAAAGCGCATAGGCAACGTGGCCACGAAAGCTCATAATGAGGCTAGGATCCGTAGGTCCACCAGGACACTCACCAACAAGCTCCCACGGTGGAGGACCACTCGAACGTCCTCCCCTACTCCGTCCAGTCCCCGAGCTCTCTGTCTCCTGACGAGCAGGTGGTACGAATCGCCCAGCTCGGTCCCTATACATAGCAGGACGTGATGTTGCCGTACAAGACGGCCCTCGTCCATGTCCACGCGTAGGTGGAGGGACCTCGATATCCTCATCATTATCGTCCTCATCAAAATCAGTCGAGACCACTCTCGATGCAGCACCCTGGTTCCTCCCATGGGAACCAGACGCCCGTGATGCCGAACGAGCAACTACAGTAGGAGCCTCTAACTCATCCTCCCCTAAATTTGCCTGTGACTGATGTCCAATATCTCGAGAGCGCTTATTCTCCTTATTCTTCCTTCGTGCTGATACATCAACAACCCTACCATTGAATCTATTCAACTCATTCCCACCCGCATCACCCGCATCATCCATATCTAATTATCTACAAATTTAAACAATATCATACTTAGATGCGCACTAATTAATTAATTTTCTATTAACTAATGTACTATTAACATTAATTGTTAATTAATTAACATTAATTAAATTTCTATTAACTAATGTACTATTAACATTAATTGTTAATTAATCAGAAATTAATTAATTTTCTATTATCTAATGTACTAAATATTAACATTAATTATTAAATCAATTATTAATTAATTAAAATTCCATTAACTAATTCTTAGTAATTAAACTTTCAAACGCATATTAAAAAAAACATTTATACACCAACTTAAATAAATATTAACACTAATTGCTAATTAATTATCATATTAAATTAAATTAAATACAAAAATTGGCCGGGCCGAAAGAATTTTGCGGCCGGTGCATCGGCCGGCCGAAAAAAATTTGCGGCCGGAGCGACGTCGGGCCGAAAAAATTTTGCGGTCGGTGCGCCGCCCGGCCGAAAAACATTTGCGGCCGGTGCGCCGTCCGGCCGAAAAATTCTTTCGGCCCAGCGACGTTCATAATTAGAGAAATTCTCTTAAACTATTCATAATTAATCCTTAATATGTAAATACCAAATAACACCCAAAAACTCCCTAAAAAGTACTACAATATTTTGAGAATTGAAAAAAGTATCACAAAAAATAAATAATTGTTCAAATATCCAAATGGTTGGAAACCACCAGGTTTCCATTTGGGATTATGCAGTTTATCTCACCTAGGGTAAATCGTAGGTACTGCATACCTTACTTTGACCATGAAGTAAAACAAGTTTGGAATATGGTACTATATCCGAAATCCTAATGAGTAAAACTTAGATCCTTATTTCCTAAATCTTATACCCTATGATCAATTTAATTAGAAACAGTACTCGACGGTTCTGATTCATCTCCCTAGGGAAAATTCCGACAAATGGTACTTTTAATCAGTCGAAACCAATCAAATCGTTGATTGAACAAGCAAGGTTAACGAGATTTTTATCTTAGATTTTAATTTGTGAGGTTTAGAGTTTTATGATCCAGAGTTCACTAATTGAGGATTAGGATATAGTTTTCTTAATAAGAATATGGAGCATCCCCAATTTTACCCTATAACGATAGATGCCAAATGAAGAATGGTGGTGATTGATCAGTTTCCATCTCTTTTTCATCTTCTGGTTTTGCGATCGATGATTTTATGATGAGTCTCTGATATATAGTTGCGCTGTCACCCATCTCTCCGAGGCAACTTACCAACAACAACCGCGCGCAGCTGAGAGATGGAGTTGAATGATCGACGACGATGATGATTCAACATCTATACTTTCCTTTAATTCCCTTTAATTCAGTAGAGTCACTTTCAGCGGCGGTTGAAGAAGGGAAGGAGGCCAGTGACAATAACAAGCCTTACTTTACGTCATTTAATGCTCATTCACGTAATACTATGCTTATTCACGTAAGAGAGTGTAAGTTATTAACGTAAATGAAAATTCATTTTTTTTTCCTCGAATAATTTGTATTGGCTATATTTTATGAAATTAAATTTGGATTTTCAATTAATTTGGAAAAAATGTGTAGCGTTGATAATATCATAATAATCTACACAATGACATCCATTTTGATATATTTTAAAGTTTAAAATTTGTGTTTACAACGGAGTAAATAAATAACAATATGCGTGAATAAGCAAAATGTATTGGTTACGTGAATAATCAACATCCTTACATGAATAACGCTAATATGACGTGAATAAGCTGAAACTTACGTGAATAAATGAAAAAGTCTAAAGGCAACAAGAGACGAGGAGATCCATGATTCTAAATGATATACCCCTCGGCTATGCCTAAATTAAAATAAGTTACTATTGATTTGGTTAAGATTCACAATAATAAATTGGGTCTATTTTTTATCTAAATCTTTTTCAGATTTTTTTATATTATCCAAACCTTTTAAAATTCTATTAGTTATCCAAATCTTTCATAATGCATCAAAATATTAGCAATTTTCATGTAATTGTTAATAATTTTATAACTTTTTTCTTAGTTAAAATACTAAAATTTTGGAATGTTAACCTTCATGAGTCTCTTCCAAGTCAGTATCATGTTGCTAAGTCAATATCACTAACAAAATTGCTAACTCGAAGTTAACATTTGGTTAATTATTAGTATTTCGATAAGTTTGGATAATATAAAAAAATTTGAAAAAGATTTGAATAAAAAATAGACATTGCCCTAATAAATTCAAATGGTTCTTTCACCAAAATCATTCAAAAACAATTTTGTTGTCAACTGAGAAAATAAATTAAAAAAAAAAGAATATCAGCTGGTGCTTATAAAACTGTTTGCATATACACGACAGAATCTGCATTATTGCAAAGGAAAAGGGTTAAATTTGTCTCCACACTCCTATCTCGTACGTACTCTGGTTTCTTCACTAGCTAAGCTTGTCCTGCTCTTTCTGCTTCAAATCTGGCTTCTCTTTTTGTTTTTTTCCTCATATGCTGCGCTGTTTCTGGGGATTCGAGCGTACGTCTTTTCCCCCAGAAAGCGGTTGTTTTTTTTTTTTTTTTTGATGAAGCAGAAAACGGTTGTTTGGTTTCTTCTTGTCTCGATCTAGCTCACTCGTCCATATCTAGAAAAGCTTCCTTCTTCTATCGGTAGTTAACGTGGGAAAGTGAAGTTCAGGAGCTAGCAGTTAACTTTATCACTGAAACCAAGTACCCGCCGCCGACGTACGTGAGATATATCCATCCAGCTTGCTCCGACGCCGGTGCTTTTCCCTGCCCGGCCAATCCACCGGTACGTACTCTCTTCTTATTATATCACCTCTTTGGAACAGTGGCGGATACATGGGCCTTTAGGGTGTCTCGGGACACCTCTAAAATTTGGGAAAACGATTATCCAACTACCGGTAATAGTTCCGTATGGATAAAAAAAAATTATAATTGGTAATCTGGGACACCCTTAAATTTTGAAAAACGATTATCCTGTCATCGGTAGTAGTTTGCGTATGATTAAAAATATATAAGTAGTACTCTGTGTTATTCAAATTTAGGACACTACTATTATTAAACATATTCTCTAGGTTGCAACTCATTTGTTGTTTTATTTTAAACACTATGTTATAGTAATAACACTATTCTTTATTCTCAATTATTTTCAAAACCTAACAATTAAACTCATTCGAGCTATCCTTAATTTGAATTGATTTTATAGGTATAGTGCAAGAGTTGAAAGAGTCTTTCAAGTTTGAGTTACATCAGGAAAAATGTTAGAAATTGAATAGGCGATCAGTTCGGGAATTATTGTCTAATATGATATATTTGCACTAATCAAATATTTTTTTGATTTATGAATTATTTAATTTAATTTTTGGAAGAGGACACCCTATAAAAATTTCCTGAATCCGCCACTGTTTTGGGATGTGAACAAAATATGCAGCAGCAGCTACAAAAGGGGAAAAAAAGAAAGTTTAATACTAACTCTTTCCAAGATACCGTTCAAATTGTGTTGTTATGGGCCGAAAATCCAAATTTAAGACATAAATTTTTTGTAAAATCCGCGCGCGAAAACAAAAAAAAATTATGATTTTCCTGTAGAATCCCATTTCGCGCAAATTGTTTAAAAAAAAATGATGTTTCGTACAACTTGCTCATAGTTTAAGTCCCACTAGCATTGTTGTCACGCCGGCTGGCGTGCCACCGATTGTACCTGGTTCAATCTGCACCGGTCATAAAATCGGCGTGACACCACCGGTATGACCGGCATGATCGATATACGAATCTCTAAATAAAATGATCTTATTTTAGTGAATTTAATTGATAAAAATTATTTTATTATTTATTTTATGAGTATAAAAGTTAAATATTGATGTTATTTGTTGGATTCAAGTATAAATGTTTAGGTATTGACGTTAAATGTCATGCTTAAATATGAGTAGTTATAATTTTTATTTGTAATCTTGACTTGCATGAACCGGCACAAACCGGTATGTGCCACCGGTCGAACCATTTCACTTACTAAACCGGTACACTGGCATAAACCGGTTTGACAACTTTGCCCACTAGTATATTGTATTTCGCCGAACGGCTCTGCATATCGCAACATGTCCAACCTTTTTTTAGCACGCGAGCAGCTCCAGATCCAGAAATAGCTAGTAGATAAAATGTTTTTGTTATGTATAAGATTTCCACATATCTTGATTTTCTCAGTCAACCCTAGCCAGACCACTCCATATACAGTTCTTTCTTTTTCTGAATCAATCACACATACAACACTAATAATCATCTTTTCCCCCTCATTCCATTCCAGACTTGCAGTGCTAGTTGAAGCTAGCAACAGTACAACTTATACAATAATCTACGCAAAGGAGGATGAACAGCAGTAGCAGTAGTACGTTTTGCGCAGTTCCTCCAGGGTTCCGGTTCCATCCCACCGATGAAGAGCTGGTGGACTATTACCTCAGGAAGAAAGTCAACTGCCGGAGGATCGACCTAGACGTCATCAGAGACGTCGACCTCTACAAGATCGAGCCTTGGGATCTTCAAGGTAATTTACCAACTATTAGAATCTTATATTCCCGAAAAAACCGGACTGGGACCGGATCAATTTGGTCCAATTTAACCGGACCGGACCGTATAGCCACCCCTAGATATCACTTGTATTTGTCTCTCACTACAAAATAACATACATACAGCAGGGGTTTTTTCCACTTTTAGCGACGAAAAAACCGTCGCTAACAAGCCCGGCAGCGGTTTTTATTACCCCTGCAAAACCGTCGCAAGAACAACCGTCGCTAAGTAATGGCAGGGGTCAGCCTAACCGCAGTAAATGGACTTGCGACGGTTTTTTTGCAGCGGTTTTTTTGTCGCAATTGGTCTACTTTTGTGCCATTAGATACGAATCTTTGCAGCGATTCCATAAGCTTTCACGACAGTTTTGTAGCCCTGGGTAACTTTTTAGCGACGATTTATTCAATTTTTAGCGACACTTTTCGGAATATTTTTAGCGACGCTTTTTAGCCCATTACTACAACCTGCTGAAACATTTCAAATTCTGCATAAATTTTTAGAACCCCTGCAAAGTACCTTCAAAGTCTACATTCCCCATTATCCATGCCACACAATGCTAACTCCCAAAGTACACAATATTACACACATTACTACCAAAGTACACTTTAACAAAGATAAAGTTCCAACTAAATCCATAATATTGAACTTTGACTTTCTTCTGAATCACCAACAGCGATCATCTTTATCATGTTTTAAAGGAAACCAAAACATATAGCTCAAAATCAATTTACATGTACAACTCAAAATCAAATTACATCATCTATATGAGTATATGATATGACTCACTTGGTGCATCTGTTGTAGTTAGAGGGGACTTTCTGTCTCTTCCTGGAGCTGGAAAAATAATAACAAGACAACAAATTCAAATATATAAGTTATCACTTCACTAATTAATTAGTTACTCTATATATAGCTATAACCCAACCTGCTTGACTAAGAAGTGAACTAAATTGGACTAGAATGTCAAAGGGGATAGGAATACTGTCACATTCTCAATTACAGAAAGGAACCAAAAAAAGAAAAGGAGGCTGACTTTTTGTGTTAGCATGGAATACATGCAACAGGTTATGAGCTTGCAAACATTCCAGAGGCAGACTTTTTTACTTACCTTTTGTCAAACCCGTGTAGCACTTTGGCTTGATGAAGATGGCGCACGAAATGAACTCTCCATTGACCCCTTCTCCCTACGAAGATGTTGCAAGAACAGTGTCTTCAATGTGTCTACTTCCATTTGCAGCTGATCCATCCCACTTCTCAGTTCAACTACCTCACTTTTTGCTTCCATCAGTTCATTCCTCAGTTCAATCACTTCACTTCGTAGGGCGTCTACCTCATTAGAGTTTGATGTCGTGGTAGAATTTATTGAAGCTGACGAAGAAGAAGGTCCCAAATCAGTCGAGGGCGTTGGTCCCAAACCAGCACAACGAACCCTCCCTGGATGCTCTGGCCCATGTACCTTCTGAAAGATCTGTTCATTATCAAAAGAACCTTCTTGTCGAAGAGTATGAGCCTTCTCCTACACAACCACAAAAAAAACAAAAGAAATATACAACATCTAATAAGAAATTTTTCATTTCTATTTCGATCTAATCATATTGTTCGTAGTGCTATTCATCATACACGATGCAGTAAAGACAACAATCATAATAGCAAAGGAAGTTTACTCATCTTGCACAACATAGCAGAAGAGCAAAGAAAGTTCACGCATCTTTACACATCTATGCAAACCAAATTCAGTAGGGTTTCAATCAAGTAAAATAGTAATAAATTCTTACGATTAGGGTTGCTGTATACCCATTCACATAGGTCCCGTTCTTTCTTGTATGAGTATTCTCAAATGTTTCCAACCTATCAGGTTCCTTTCCGGTTTCCATAGTCTAATAAACATAAGGACAAAGTACCTTCATTTGTTAATGTCCATTTAAATTTGTAAAGAAAATCAAACAAGTCAAATTAAGTAAAAAAACATACTTTTATAGCCTTCCACCTTGCAATGCTCATCCTTCCACATGTATGTGGAGTCTTCATGTTGCTAGCATTTTCAGCGTTTATCCTACTCAGTCTCTACAAATGTTGCAGTCATAAGTTTAAGAAGTTAAAATTTAGTAAATCTGATGATGAAAATCAAATAAAGTTAAAATTTATACCTGAAACTCTTCAGTATACCATCGGTTAACCAAAGTCTGCCAATGGGTATCAATAACGCCTTCAGGCTTCGGTATTGCAAGAATTTCTTCAATAGACAGCTCAGGATCATAATATTTACTTTTCAGTTTCGTCTTGTAGTCGCTCCACCTTCTATTCACAGTTGACAAAATCCATTTGGTGGTAGCAGCTGGATATCGAAACTTCGTCTGGTTCAAGATAAAAGAAAATTAGTCTCTAATTTGATGGAGAAAAGAAGCCTTCGTATTTGTTGGGGCCCGAAAGCAGAATCCAGCTTCCTATCCCTCACACTGCTATCACACTCAAAATTCACCTATCTGCTCGAAAGTCACACATGCAAACTAGAGGAAAGTACAAATGAACTTTGGGAATGTTGACTTTTTAATCTCCTTTTCACGTTGATCCATTTGAGATCAGTAGAAAACTTAGAAAGGGGAATCTTCTCCCATTATTGTCTACATATAAGCACAAAATAATTAGAAGTATAAAGAATTCAATGTAAAAAGTAACCAATTATTCCAATGAATAAAAGAACATTACCAACATAGGTAGTAAATCCATCATATTCAGTTTCCTCAATGACTTCTTCTTCAATCTGCTCTCTTGCAGCTTGATTGTTGTGTTGAGGGTTTGACTCCCTCTGAACTTGTCCCCTAAGTGATTGCTCTCCTTCAGTTTGATTGTGGTGTTGAGGGTTTGACTCCCTCTGAACTTGTCCCCTAAGTGATTGCTCCTCTACATCTTGATTGTTGTTTCGAGGGTGTGACTCCCTTACAATTTTAAGTCTTTTCAAGTTTCTTCCCTTTGTTACCATGATGGTTGTGGATATCAAAGCTGAAAGCAACAGTAGATAACACAAATAAATATTAAATAGTCATCTAGATTAGTTAAAACTTGAACAGGGAACTGCCAACGGGAATTACTGGATTGTTTTCTATATTTCACATGACAAAATATAAAATCATCTTGTTTTCTATAGTTCTTTGGCTTATTTGCTATTCTGAAAGAAAGTATTTCTCCAAATATGTATCTTCTAGGACTTAAAAGCCTAAGAATTGGAACCATAAATTAAGGGAGGTAAATACGAACCTCAGGGAGACAAAAGTGAGTACTGTGAGGTCCTTTCTGCAAAAGGAGCAAGGATATCAGCGATGAGAACTCATTGAAACTATTACTGTAGGGACATAGCTAAAATTGAGACCATAACAGAGTTATAACTGTAACATAAAGGACCTGTAGCAGCAGGGCAATAAAATATTAATAAGATTGTAAAATAGACATTAAGTTAGGTCAATTCACTATTGTTCAAAATATTACAACTGAGACTTCTAACGAAAACTCCAAGTACAAACATAAGACTGAAACTACACAATGAACTCCTCTTCCACATCAGTTCGCACCCAAGTAGGGCAATCTTCAACATCTAAGCTGCCAAAAGCACTTGGTCGAGACAATATCATATCCTCCAAGTCATCCTCCCCCATGTCATACGTGTCTCTAGGCCTAAATCTTATTACAACAGACCAGCCCATATTCTGCGGATCATCCACATAAAATACTTGATCTACTTGTGAAGAAAATACAAATGGATCATCATTGAGATTATCTCCAGTATGGATAAGTTTGGAAAAGTTCACCTACCATTCCTTTCCTCTATATAAACTACGTACATGGATAACCTATTATACAAGCATTCATCTACAGAGAAGTATCCCATAAACGTGAGTTTACAAGCCATGTAAGAAGCTTACACAAGAACAAGTACCCTTTATCTTCTCCTCGTTGCTGGCTGGAAATATACACCCCACAAAACCAACTATACCAACTCCTACTGTGTGTATAATATATATCTATCTGTATCAAAGCTTCGGATTGCTTTAACATCTTACACCTAGATCTATGGAAGAACATCAGAGGCATTCGTGCACACAAGCGGTTGAACTTATCTATCACTAGTGGGAGCAGAGAATTAACGAATGAGGAAGAGGGATGGACTCACACAGGTTGACGAAATCCCAGATGGCAAAGATTTGTGAAGAAAATTGATCAAATCTCGTCGCAGATTCACTTGACTCAGCTGATTCGGTTACTACGTTCAGAGCAATCAAAAAGCACAAATCAGATTTAAGAACTATATTATGCTCGAGATCAGAAGAAATCCACAAGCACAAATTAGGTTTAGAGAGTACCAGAAGAAATAGTTGGAACGCGGTAGCAATCGATGATCGGAGTAACCGCTGCCCAGCGGTTCTCTACCAAGGGTTGGAGTAATCGCTGCCCTAGAAAACGGCTTCGGAACAATCTGTTCGCAGAAAACGGCTTCGGAGGAGGAGCGGAATCGCCGAATTGGAAATCGGAGATAAGCTTACGACGAGAGGAGAAAACTGCTTCAGAGGAGGAGGAGAATCGACGGATCGGAGATCAGAGATGATGGCGAGATGAGCTGAGCTCTTTCTCGATTGTTTTTTCCGGTGCAGAGCTTTTTCTCGATGATAAGGAATGCGATAAAAAAAATTTTGTTGAAAATGTGTTTCGGTCAAAATTCAAAATTGGTTTGTTCTTTTTTTTTTTTACAAACAAATTGGGTGGTTGTTTGTTCCGCTGGATCAATCACTGCACATTTACATGTTTGGGCCTATCAGCGGTTATAACATTCGCTGGGCCATTCGCTGCCAAAAGTGAAGGATATAAATCCCGGCAGCGGTTACTCCAACCCTTGGTAGAGAACCGCTGGGCTTGGCCCAATCGCTTGTAGTGTCTAAACACTATTTGGTTTTGCCTCTCAATGACATACTATAAGTAACATTTGTATCTGAAAGCAATTATATTTGTCTCTATATGTACCATTTAAATATTATATGGACGCAAATAGGATAAATGCTTCTAAAGCTATTCTTTTAAATGATTTCGTATAAATTATAAGAGAATCTTATGAAAGAGAAACAAATAATTTGACCTACCAAGACAAATAAATTTTTTGCTTCTGATGTTTAACTATGGAGACTAATACAATAACTGTTTCTAATTATTTGTCTCTATAACTAGGTTTTCTTGTAGTGCACGGTGCATATATACATAAAATATGCTTCTCATGCTATGCAGAAAGCGAAGAGCAGAGCGAGTGGTATTTCTTCAACCACAAGGACAAGAAGTATCCGACGGGGAACAGGACCAATAGGGCGACGACGGCGGGGTTCTGGAAGGCGACGGGGAGGGACAAGGCGATTTACATGAAGAACGAGCTGATCGGGATGCGGAAGACCCTTGTTTTCTACAAGGGTCGTGCTCCAAATGGACAGAAGTCGGACTGGATTATGCACGAGTACCGACTCGAGACTGACGAGAATGCCGCTCTCCAGGCAAGTGTGTTTGCAACATTAATTCAAGACACATTATTAATAGATTTTTCCCATTTGCAATATATATCCATTAATTCAGCAAAGTTTTTATTATGGATTTAACTTCAAACATTTTAAATCTCTAAAATCTAGAGATATCAAATCTCACATAATTAAAGAGATTCTATTGCGTGATTTCTGGCAAAAAAATTCTTCTATTTTATCTCTTCTTTTCTTTTCTCTTATTTTCTTTCATTTATCCCGCTAAATACCCTTATTAATTAATTATCAAATTTTTTTAGTCACTCGAATTCTTTTCGTTAAGGGTGAATATATATATATATATATATATATATGTGTGTGTGTGTGTGTGTGTGTGTGTGTGTGGTGTCTTCTACGGTATCCCAGGTGAAATCCAGGGTACCGCATATCTTGAGTATAAAAACGCTACCTAGGCCTCGAATTAGCAAGATTTTTGGACATGATACTTTATTCTAACCCTTATTGAGTGAACCCTAGATCCAAATTATCTAAACTCTAAGATGGTGCATTCATTTGGTTGGAGTGGCCACTTTGATGTCTTGCTTGCCATTTGTTTGTTATTTCTTTTTGTTTACTAATTAATAAAAATACATCATTCTCATAAAAAGTAAACAATTCATCTAATAAAAATTTTGAATTTATGTTTCCATTGAATGATACGAGCACTGAACCGATGCACGTAGTTATCAAAGTCGCAAGGCTAAGAATAGGGGTTAGGTTTAGGGATAAAATAGAATTGAAGTGTAATCGCACACCTGAGAGAAGGCTATACCAATACAGGGTAGTAGCTCAACCACAAACAAATGTAATACTCAATTGATATAAAGCACAATTCACAAGGTAAAAACTTGATGAACTAGGGGAAAATTCAACTGATAAAAACTCATATCTCTGTAACGATTCGGCCAAGCCTTTCAATAGAATAACAAAGCCTAATTATACTACTCCACTAACAAGGAAAAAACAAAACTAAATAAAATACTGAAAAGGGAAAAGAATCATAAACACAAATGGAAACTAAACTCAACAGCTGCTATTCCTTGGTATATCCTTCTATTCCACGGTCGGGGAATTGACGTCCTTGGCTAGTTAGGGAACTTCTTCTGTTCCAAATGTAGGTCTTATGATTATGTTTCTCGGTTGGGAATTGGATGGCCTGACCGGGGATTTTCCTAATCACCATACGATATTCAGACTGCTCATTTGGTGTCATGTAAGCTTCAATCTTCTCATCCAACGCCTTTACGATCTTCAACAAGACTTGTACTCACACATCCAGGGATTTTCCTAATCACCATACGATCTTCAGACTGCTCGTTTAGTGTCCAGGAAGCTTCAATCTTCTCATCCAACGCCTTTACGATCTTCAGCAAGACTTGTACTCACACCTCCAACTCCCAGGCCCCAGCTTCCCCCGAATGGCTCCCAATATGAACGAGTAAGCGTCCATAGTATGTACCTTGAAGTTGTTTTCGCACTCAACCAATCTCAACACTTCCTTCTTCCTTGATTTTAGCACTACTTGGAATGCTTGGAAATTGACTTTCTTAATGACTAGCGTGCTTACATCATTGAATATTAACAATCGCAGTTACCAAACAATTATATAATTTTAAATCATTTTTCAACAATTGGAAGAGTTAGAATATTGGAGTTGTTTACAATTTAGATATTAGACTCCAGCCCTAAAACTAAAATTCCCCAAATTATTAGAATTAGGCATCGTTCGGTTACCAGCAAACTAGTTTCTAGTTCGCGGCCTTTGGGAGCGATCAATCTTGCCACTACTGTAACAACTAACAAGCTAACTATATAGCACCATGAAGCTTGTTCGCTGTTGTGAGAAATGAACTATACAGCAATGGAACTTGTTCGCTATTTTGAAGAGCGAACTATAATGTAGTTCACTGCACTTTGCACCGATTTGCCTTGATCGCTTCAATCAGTCGCAATCATTGCTCGAACCCTACTACTTAAAATTAAAAGTCAAACAATTACCAACAACTGAGAGCTGAAAATAAATTTTATTGTGTCACAATATTAATTAAACCACAATAAAACCCTACTTATTCATTACAACATAAACACATAAATTTCCATCTCTAGTTCCACGACAGTTGCGCCGGTCATGCCCTTTAACTCCACATGCCGTCTCCTCGATTGATCCATCTCATTTCAAATCATGTGCACTCTAGGTTGATCTTTGGTACGCTTCCTTTGCTCAAGTGGGAATACCCCTGGTCCGCATGCGGGGTACTCAGACCAATAAGCTTCATAAACTAAAGACCTGAATCATGAGTTATCCCAAATCTTTGCGTACGATACACATATGAAACTTTTTGACCGCGTAATTACTTTTGAAGTGTCGTATGCATCATTGTCAGGTAAGCTCCTTAGGAAAATCTTGCGTTGCATGTGCAATCCCATATTTACGTATATGGAAATTATTACAGGAAGAAGGATGGGTGGTATGTCGGGTGTTCATCAAGAAGAAGATAACAAGGGTGAGAAAGAAAAGTGACCAAATGGAATCCCCCAACTCAGCCGTGATGATGATGGATTGGAGAGTGCTTGATAAGTTTGTCGCTTCCCAACTCAGCCATGATGATGATGATCATCATCAACTACAGCTGCCGGCGGGCGGTGGGAAATTTAATAATGCCACGGCGCCGCCGACCTCTCGAGCTACTACTAGTAGTAGTTTATTCGACCTGTGGAAATGAGAATATGGGTTTGTCCCAAAATATTGTAATATATTTAGGGCAATACTTGGCTGCTACCCTGGTTGCAGCGCTTTCCTGCATCCAACACACGCGTTGGTATATTATTGGTCTGTTTAGTGTTTGTATGTTACTTACTTAATTGTTGTCCTTCATTTTAATTTCCCAGAGTTGCTAATGGTAAGTGACAGAAGCCGTTTATATGGCTAGAGAATTTTTTTAATTTGTCCTGGAATCTTGAATTATTGAGAGTTTAATACAATAATTGAATTAACGTTCTTATTGAGTTGTAACTAGGGTACCGTCCGAATATTGTATATTTTCATACTATCGTGATTAGGGATGGCAAAAATATTCGTAACTTTGGATATCTGTCTGAATCCGGCCTAATTAGGTAGGGTAAAACCCAAAACCGAAAGATTTTTAGTGGGTACAGGTAAAATTCGAACCTCAATATTGTGGAAATGGATAGGTATGGTTTTCTTACTATCCAACCCGAACCCGTCCGATTATATACATGCATATGTATTTTATCTAGAAATCATCATTATTTTTCTCTAACATATTTTATATTTAGCATACAAATATAATATTTTCTTGAAATTGTGTTGTTTTAATTACTCCTTTTCATTCTAGTAATTTATTGTTATACTTTTCGTCTTATATAATGTGAGTATACGTGTGAATGTTAAAATATTGGGTGGAATTAAAAAAAAATTATTATCTACTTCATTATTAATCTCGTTAAAAATCAAAATGAAAAAAGCCAACATTTGAGAAACAAAAATATAAAAAAAGAAACTAATGAATGGCCTACACGTGTGTTGGATGCAGGATGTCGCTGCAACCAGGGTAGCAGCCAAGTATTGCCCATATATTTATACTAGCTTTTTACCCGGCCTGTTGGCCGTTGAGTTTAATTTTACCATTTACATTAATCAATTTATCTATATGTTTAAACTATTTTGGATCTTCTAAATTTTTTACATTTGCATTCCTTGGTGAGTATGCAGTGCGTCTATAAATTAAAAATTCTCAATACTTAACACATTCACTTATAATGCTTCGATTCACTGATCATAAATCATGTCACAAAGATATATCACATCCCATATAGAATCTTATGTCAAGCTTTGTCAATAACGATACTCAATTTTTTTTGTCTTATACAATATATGCCATTCAATGAATGTCGAGTTTGGAGGAACTCTCAACCAATGATGTTGCTCAGATGACGACAACTTAATATGTACCAAGACTCTCAATATTACATAGATTTGGTCATCCCAATTGAAATTTTACAGTCTTAGTGTAAGATCATATTTGTCTATCAAGACACTCAATTTAATATCTTATACAATATGTACCCATTGTTAATTCCTGAAGTTTAATATAGACTCACCCTCAACTCATGGTCGTTGTTTAAATGTTGGTTTAGAATCTCGGTCCAAGATACTCACACACTGTCGAGGGTTCTAATCTTAACATGGTCCATTGTTGTATAATTTTCTAACTAATTCAATATGCATTTGCTAAAATTTATTTATCTTTGGTGTTTGTTTTGAGATAAAAAAATCCACTACTTATACTAATATCTTCATTTTGTTGGTGTAATGCCACATCTATTGTCAATATCTAAGCATTATCTTATACTCTAAGTAAGAAAATGCTATCTGGACCACGAATTAACCGGATTTGTGGGCATGATACTATATCCTAACCCTTGATGAGTGAACCCTAGGTCTTAGTTATCTTAATCATAGAGCTTTAACCCCTAAGATTGTGCATGTAATTTGTTGCATAGATTTTAACGAATCATGACCATTGATTTTTGTTTATAATTAAACTCTTTATATATATATATATATATATATATATATATATATAGAGAGAGAGAGAGAGAGAGAGAGAGAGTTTAATGTATTTTTAAGTGTAATTAACACCTTTGTTTGACCGAAATATGTAAACTGTTAAGAAAAATAAGGGGAAGTATGAACAAATGTAAGAGAAAATAAGGTATGGAAGCATGCATTATAAGAGAGAAGAAACATTGTCTTTCTTTATCGTCTTCATTTGTACAATCAGGTACTATATTATGGCTTCGTCAAGTTTCTATCAAAATGAAAAAACAACTTTTGAAGCATTTTGCTATTTAATACTTGTTTTCGTTGATAGATACAAACATTAGAAAAAGATAGCGTTTGATAACCAAAACATAAAATTATATAGTTGGTTTTTCAAATGCAATTGATTATTAAATGTTGATTATCTAAACTTCCTTCATTATATTTTTTAAGTTTTTTATTACTTATCAATGTGTTTAATTTATTTTTTTATCAAAATATAACATATATTAAGTTCTAATGAAATGAAAAATAAAAATTAATTGATCAGATTTAATCAAATATATTATTTGAAGCATTACAATATATGTCACTCTCCAAACATAAGTATACTACTGCTACACATATATATTGAAAAATACAATTATTGAATAAAAAATAAAAACATTAAAAGAAGATAGAGATAGCGACATAAATGATCATTAAAATAAAAAGAAAATATTAAAAAAAGATAGATAACTATACATTAATTGATCATTAACTAACTTTTTTTTTTGTAAAAAAATTGTCCACCATGGCACCTTGTAAATTCTCCAAATGCTTATGTGGCAACAAACTACTTTTGAATTGCTATAATATTATGTATAGATAGATATGCACGTATGCAGATAGCAAGAATTTAAATTGAGTGAGGTTCGATTTACGAATAAATTTAATTACATAGTAATCAATTTGTAAGTGAAGGTTGTCAACCGTGGGTTGACCCGGACCCGGTTGAGCTAGTGGGTCAAGAGTTAATGGGTCACCCGTTTTAGCCCGGTTTAGCCCGGAAATATGGAAAGCATCATTATATTGTACTTATCCTGATAAATTATACCAAATCTCATCTAACATATGAGTTATAACATATAATATTACACCAAAATAACATTTCGTACTTAGATTCAACATAAAGTGAAAATTCACACACACTTATATAACATTAATATTCAAATGTTCAACTTAGGATTCCAAAGATTGAGTTAGGCGAAAAGAAAAATCGGAAAATAGGCGCATTTCGCAAAACAAAGAAAAAAATGACACAATTTGACCTCCAACCCGGTACCTTGTGGCGGTTGACCCGACGGGTGCGTGCGGCCCGTTTTTCTCACCGGATCAGGGTCAAAGTGGGTCAACCCGCGGGTTGAAAACCTTGGACTGCATTCCCTTTCAATATACTGAATTGCATATTCATTCATCAAATCATTGATTATTCAGTTGTGCAACTTAATTAGACGTCTTTCAAGGCTTTTTCTAATGAATCAAAGTAGGTCGATTGTAGAAGGAAAAAAAGTTGCATAAGTTATTTACCATGTAATTTCATAATTGAAAAGTGATCTTCCTATAATTAAAAATATGTATTTATTTCATTAGCATATATAAGTTAAGATATTCAAATTATAGATGTTTAAAAAATCATACCTAAACTGAACAAATATATTTTTATATATATGATAGAATGAAAAAAAATTACTTAGAAATTAGAATACCAATGATTTTTTTGTTGTTGTTATGTTCCGTTGTTGATCTAAATTTATTTATTTGATTTTTATCACGGAGATAATTGAAGTTCTAGTTTTAGCAGTGGAAGGGAAAGGTAAAGGGAAGCAGGGTAAGAAAGAGTCAGGAAGGCCTCCAAATAAAATAAAAAAATGAACGATGATCGTCATTAATGGAAATATTAGGGGATTTAATCATCCCGACAAGCGGGATTGGATAATGAGCATGGTAAGAATATATAAAGTGGATGTGCTTGTAGTAATAGAAGCTAGAGTAAAAAATTTAACTCATACAGCTATGTTGAAGTTAAAATTTGAGTACTCACCTACTCTAAAGCTATTGGTTCAAAGAGGTCCCTACCTATTCTACTCCGCTTGGTAGGACCGATACTCTCATTGGGATAAAGGGAAGGAAAGGAGAATCCTAACTATGTAGCTCAGAAGCTACAGCAGCGCTTTGCGAAAACTTCTACGCTACTAGAAACCTAGAACCTTCGACCTTCGGAAGTTCGAAGAAAATTATGAATACTTTGCATTGGGTCCTGTTTTGTTTCTTTGGAAGAAGGCCCTTGATTTTATTGTATTGGGTAATGGAAGCCAGTTCATCCATGGTTAGGTAAGAGGTCTGAACCTTGTAGGATTACCTTTCTGTATGTGACAAATGTTATGGGTTGAGAGAGGAGATGTATCTACAGAGAAGTCAAAAGTTAAAGGAAGTTAAAAAGATGTTGAAGAAAATAAATGAGGAAGAGTATATTGCCAAATATTGTTGCCTTTCTAGCTGAGCATTATGCAAAAAAAAAAAAAAAGGAATTTGGGAAGCTCTTTATGAATGAGGAATCAATTTTCTACAGAAATCACCACAATTGTGGATACAAAATGGGGACCTTAACAGAAAAAATGCATATGTGAAGATATGGAAAGAAATGGGTTGAGGCAAGGTGACATGTGTCCCCTTGCCTATTTATTATATCCATGGTTGTGCTCTCAAGCATGCTAAATAGAGCAGGTGTACACAAATTCTTCTTACTCATCCGCAGACTCATAGGAATGAGCTCACACACTTGTATTTTTATGATGATCCTTTAGCCCTAAAATTTTGGGAATCTCACTGCAGTAGTTTGAATTTGGAGGAAAAGAAAAAAATAGGTGATAATTTTTGTGATTCAAACCATAACCTTATAGTTATTGGAGAAATTGTTATTCATTACACTACAAACCAATTGTTGTTATGTTTAAACATAAATGTAATTACAATCTAATAGAATCTCCAATTAAATCCTAATTTCCACAAATTTTCATCTAATAAACCTTGAAAACTAAAATGTGAATTCCCAACCCTTCTTATATTGACTAAGCTTGCATTACTATCAATTTTGATTTTTTTACTCGGTTCTTGATATATAATATAATTGCAAGAGTTGAACTACCGCTTTGATGAGGTGACTACTAGGTTGTTGGCTTGTATGACCTGTTTTTCACGGGAGAATGAGTGTGTTACTTTTGACAAAGAGAAGCTAATAAGCCTTACTCGAGTAATTTCTTCAATGATATTTTTAGTATTATTATCATATTGTGAAGAATGATGAGTTATTCCTTAGCTTAAATGGAATCGATGAATTATGTTAGTTAATGTTGAAGACAAAAGTGAATTATCATATTTATCTGTGTATTTGATTTTCAAACTTGTAATGATTTTAGCAGTTGCAACTGCAAGCAATGCAGTCAAAAGCTAAGATTTTATGCATTAGACCCCTTAGATATTGTACTTTTTGTTCAAAAAAATTGGCGCCGAAAAACCCGAATAAAAGCCCTCAAGCCTAGTAAAAGTCTAAACCTCATCTTTTAAATTGCTTTTTTAGGCTTTTGCTATCGTATTTTAGGCCAATATTATAGGGATGTGCAATAGTTCAATACGAACCAATCTGACCCAAACGGTCCTACAGGCAATTTTAAAGTGTTTACTAAATCATAACGTATCGACAGTCTTACCGAAAAAATGACCTATCTACCACTAGTTTTTACGGTGGTACAATCCTTATTGATTCCCATGTTTTAATTCTCTTAGATGATGTTTGCCGTATTTTTGGTCCCTCCAGTGGACTACTATTCAGCCTGGACCACCAATCCAGCCCAGCCCAGCCCGTCTGAAACATTCTAGCTCACTAGTTTGAACCGAAAACCAGATATATGGTCCATCAAAATGGGCCGCCTGCAGGCCTATAGCTACGCGCAGCGAACAGATCAACAGAATGATTGCGGAAGTTTAGATTCACGAACCCAGAGTGTCGACAATCAACATACATCATTACCTAAAAAGATTGTCAACCCAAAACGACCCCAAAACTGAGGAGAAATAGAATTAAATTATATTTATTTAGGTGCTGAAATAAAATTAAAACAAAAGAGAAATCCACATAAAATAAAACGGGAATGGATTGATTTTCAATGCGTGACTGATTAGCACTAACAAAGTGAGAAGAACCATTTTCTATGAACAAGACAAGAACTTTAGAGAAGAAGCTGCACAGTTAAATCAGCAGGGGAAAAAAACCCTATAACTCGACCAACCCAGATGTATACATTCTCTAACAAATCAACAGATCAATGACCACTTCCATTTCCTCATGTAATTAGACCCTTTTCGTATCTCTTTGTTTCACTTTCCCGCCCAAACTTCCTATAAAAAAAAATGTTTCAGACCAAAATGTTGCAGAAGAACACAGCAGAAAGCGCCATGGCCAGACTGATAAACACGTTCGCCCTCCTCGCCATTGTTGAACCTGCATTTGACTTGTTGTCCCTGTAGAATACAACACAGAAGGAGTCAGAAAATTGGTTGGGTAGCAGAAGAGGTGCAATGACAAATTAATCAGTTGGGAAAATGAGGGACAGAGAGAAGACAATTACTTCTCCAGGTTCTGAAGTTGACCACAGTAGACTACATTATCTGGTGGAGCAAACTCAGTTTCACCATTCTCCTCAGGGTTCACTATTTTCATGTATGTCTCTTGACCGAGATACCACCTGTCGAGATTCTCTACTCTCAGGTTCCATACACCCACGTTGTCAAGGGATGCAAGAACAGCGGTCCACCCTCCAGGATGCACCTGCACCACATTCATTTTTTAGATCAAACATCATGTAGAGACAGACAGACGGACTTCACATTTCAAGGCAAATCAGGGCTCCTTTTAGGGTTGAAAAGAAAGCAAGCCAACCTCAACAGTGGAGCGAGAAATGGCATCCCAGTTGTTATATCCATTCCTGTTGCTCTCCGACCAGATTCCCCAGTCCATCCTGCAGTAATCCCACTCGATAGAATTAGCAGAAAGTTTCAAACTTTTCAAGTGAAGGGATACTTCAAAATGGTTTACTCACCCCACAACAAAAAATGAGTAACCATCCATGTGAAAGCTCTGCAATCTGGTGTCATTGTTCTGCAGTATGATCTCGACAAAGCCCTTGTATGTAGCATTTAGAACAGACGTGTCCACCACTGGAGGTCTGTTCATTGGCTGAGTGGGAAAATCAAGCTTGTAAGCTCCCTTCACCTTGTGTACATCAGCAAGCCTGATTGGAGTATCCGGGTTTCGGAACGATATTCCATTTAGAGTTGCACGCATTTTCCCATTGATTGAAACTGGTGGTAAGCTCCTTAGAATGTATGTGTCAGTAATATTGATCTGGCCGTAGTGAAACGAACCCTGTGGATTTGGCCTAGCCCCACTCGCTGACGTATTTTGCCTAATCGATATTAACAGACGAAGAATGAGTCAGGGGAAAATGTTCCACACATAAAAAGCATATGGAATGATTTATGTGTAAACCACAAACCTTATGGTCTTTGCCTGGTTCATGGCAGACCACTGGTTGTAGATATCACTTGGTGCCTCAGGAAGAGGACCAGCGGCTGGTCCCTGGGAATTGGAGTAGTGCAAGATGGCAACACCAGTGACTCTCTGCCAAACTGTTTCATTTACATATCGGGCGCTTGCCACAACATAGTAGTCAGTAGTTGCGTTCTGATCCATGGTGACCAAGAACGAGTAAGACTGGCCCACATGGATATCAAAGCTTGTGTAGTTCTGTTGTGCTGTATAACGACCCTCTGTCTCCACCAAGAGCAGATTGTGACCCTGAATTCTGAAGTTCAAACTTGTTGAAGTGCCCACATTGTGTACTCGAAATCTGTAAGTTTTGCCTGCAAAACAGATAACACGTTATGAAGAGGTTTAAGAGAGAAGCAAACAGCTGAATTCTAGTAAAAAGGAAAACAAGAACAGCAATGAGAAGGTGGTTACCTGGATCAACGTTAAGGGTTTCGTACTTGATGCCATCGGGTACACTAGAGTTGTATTTGAAAGGTCCCTTCCCATTAATTAAAACACCATCTGGCATTCCAAGTTCATTCCCAGAGTCAAGAGTAGTTCTCAATGCCTGGTATTCAGTACAAAACAAGCCAACAAAAGGAAAAATTCAATCCTCAAAATCAATAACCTAAGCAACAAAAGAACATCACTCAATATATATATCAACTAAACAACAAAGAGAAGACCAACCGTGTGGTTTTGAGTGTACCAATCCCCAATGAGGAGGTTAATGTCACCGTCAGGTTGTGCAAAAGGGATTGGAATAACCTCCCTGTTGTTGATAATAACAGGGCCAAAACCTCCAGAAGCTCTCTGGAGATTGAGCGATGGGTAGTAGAAGAAGCTCCCAATTTGATCCTTCACTTGGAAATTATAAGTGAAGTTCCTCTTTGGCCTAATTGGACATGTTGTGCCTCGGACTCCATCTTCCCACGAATCTCGCCGCATTTGAATCCCAGGCCTATACTCAAAACACACACATACACAGCCATTCAATATCAAAAGCTCACAAGACAACCCAAAAGAACCAACTAGGGACAGAATCAAAGATCACGACAAGCATAGAAATGAGAAGCAATCCATACCAAGTAATGAGGAGACCTTCATCCAACTCATTGATAACATTCACAACAACATTGTAGTTGGTAGTAGCATTCAGGAGTGGACCAGGGAACTGTCCATTCACAGCAATCACCTGGCAATGAAATGAAGGAACAACTCAGCAGCTTCCTTCTCAATAGACTGAAGAAACCCTACTCGCCAGAACATAAAAGACGAGAAAACTGACAATCGCAGCCCAAAAATATGAATCAAACGCAACATGCGGAACCAAGAAAATGAGCCCCCAAATATTCCTTCTGAATGCTAAAACCCTGAAGAATCCGCTGGTGACAAGAATCGGTGACACTCCAATCCCTAAACCTTACTATCTTCGTAATTCAGCTATAGCAAACAGATTGAAACAAAACCGGGCCCATGGGAAGAAAAACTGGGGGGAAGAACAACCATTTGAACTATCAGATCCTGAACAACAGAGTCGCAAGCCAGAATAAAAAACCCAGAAAAGAAAATTTCCAATTGACACCAGGAAAACGTGAAGTCAATGCGGAGAAAGAGTTGAGGCGAGGGAAGTAGAAGAAGTGACCTGTTGAGGAACGCCGAGAGGAGAGGCGGTAATGTAAGTGAGTTTGTAATCGTAAGAGACCGTTGGGTCGGCGGCAAAGCAAAGGGTCGAGAACAGAGCAATGCAGATCAAAGCGAGCAGAGAGGAACGAAGCAGGAGAGCCATGGCAGGACGGAGTCTGTTAAGCTGCTTTTTTTTTTTTTTGCTTCTGTTCGTCCGGCGGGCTACTCGAGAAGGGGAGAAAAAAAGAAGGGGAAAAACCCAGTAGTGATCTCCGGCGAACGAAATTTACATTCTCCGGGAAGGAGATTCTGAGAAGGTCAGAGGTTGAGGAAGATGGGGGGAAGAAGAACTGTTATAAGTGGGAATGCCGAGGTCTGGAAATGGGGGAAGAGTGCGACTAAATAATAGGAGAAGAAGCAAAGGTCAGGCTCTGGAAAGCGGCCGGGAAGAAACGAAGGAGACACCCTAGAACTAGAACAACCAGACCAATTTGTTTTTTATATTTAGTTTTTTAATTTTTTTATTAAATGGAGTGCGAAAAGGAAGGGAAATACCTCGGCCCGTTTCTCGACCGGGTACCGCCCAAACCGGTTGCGCTAAATTCGTGGTGATGTAATAATTTATGGGAAGAAAATCTTTTTGCGTCTTTTCTTAGTGGGGTGGTTAATTTCAGATTAGCGAGTCAACACAATTTCATTGTAATTAAGGTTAGAATTGATCCCGGTGACAGCTATAGTTACTTGTTTATTTTAATTATTTATTAATCAGAGGAGAAGTTCCCTGCCCGGCGAAGGCTTTTTTTTTTTTTTTTCTGTGCAATGAAGTGAAATTGTATCGTATTTTAGTTAGAAAGGCGGCAATTGGCCATGGATGCTGGCTACCCGATCTCGCCGTCGACGTGGAGCGAACCCCCATCCACCACCACAGGGTGCCTCCGAGCACCAATTGCCAAGCAAGTCACGCTCGGGCTCGCGGTTTGAGGCTCTTGAGGCATTAAATGATGAGCTACGCGAGCATGCAGAGGTTTTGGAGGAGGCTAAAAAACAAGGGACAGTCGAGGCGGAAGTGACAGTAGTGGAGACGGAGGCAGATGCTGGGATAGTGGCGAGGGATGCGTCCCAGGATAAGATAGTGTCTCAACGCCAGAAAGAGGTGAGGACGGATATAGTGAAGGGAGTGGCTAGTACAAAGGGAGGACAAAAAAATGGAGCAAAGGGGCAACTCACAAAGGGAGTGGAGCGGAAGCCGAGCTCGGCGGGGGGCAGCACCGGCAGCAAGCCCAAAGGCGACAAGGTGAAGGCACCTGAGAAGGATGTAGCCAAGGAGAACCGCAACACCAAAACGCCAAGCAAAGCCAAGAATGAGGGGAAGAATGGACGAGGTGGATCCCCGGTTACTCTACTGCATCGCAAGCCTACAGACTCTAGGAAGGTGCAGACTGTGGCTAGGGAATTGGATCTCAATGTAGCGGACGTGGACCCTACGGCTGTTGAGCGCGAGAAATCATGCGGTGGTGCCTCTTCCCTTCGAGGATTGACAGGCACAACAGGCATGGAGGTGGAACAATGCTGACGTCGTCAGCCAGGGAAGTTTCTGTTCATTCGAGCCTAGTAGTTTGTGAGCTTTTTTGTTTTTTTTAGAATCTTCTTTATGGTTAGTACTTTCTACTGGAACTGCCGCGGTGCGGCAGACCCCAATTTCCTAACATATTTCTTTGAGTTTCGGCGGGTGCATCGCCTGACCATTGTTTTCATCTCAGAACCGAAGATAAGTGGCACGGAAGCGGACAAAGTGATCAGCCGGATGGGCTATGACAAGGTGGAGCGGGTTGAAGCTAGGGGGTTCTCAGGCGGGCTGTGGGCGCTTTGGAACGCAGGGGATGTGGACCTGACTGTGGAAGCTTCGAGTGACCAGATTCTCCACTTTCGTGCCCGCATGCACACTAATGAGGAGTGTCTCATCTCGGGAGTCTATGGCTCGCCTAATCCTAGTCACCGTCGCGCACTGTGGGAAACCATGCGGGCTCTCTCCTCGGCACCTCTCTGTCGTGGTTGGTCCTCGGTGATTTCAATGCCTTGCTCGGTCCGGAGGATAAAAGAAGGGGTGCATCATTCAACATGTCTCAAAGTAGGGAGTTTCGGGATTGCGTGGAGGACTGCAGCTTGATGGATTTACAGTTTGTGGGGCCGCGATTTACTTGGGCAGGGCCGAGAGGGTTGAAGGAGAGGCTCGATAGAGCCGTTTGCAATACTCATTGGCTTTAGAGCTTCCCAGAGTCCTTCACGACCCATCTCACCAAAGTCAAATCGGACCACCGCCCCATTCTAGTTGCGATGGAGAGAGTGCGCGGGCCGAGGAGAGGGGAGAAGCCCTTTCGATTCCTAGCACCGTGGATGCAGCACAATGATTTCTCCCGTACACTCAAGGAGGGATGGGCGAAGGGTGACAACTACAGGAGCTGTCTGGCTCTACTCACGTCGGATCTCCGGAATTGGAATAAGGAGGTGTTTGGAGACATTTTTGCTAGGAAAAGAAGGCTCATGGCTCAGCTCAACCGCCTAGAGATGAGGAATGATTCTCACCCGTCGCCTATAAGTCTCAAGGAAGAGGAGGAGGTTCGGCTAAGTTTACAGGAAACGCTGAGGCATGAGGCTGCTCACTGGTATCAGAAGGCTCGCGCGCAGTGGTTTGTTGAGGGGGACTTGAATACACATTTCTTTCACCTTGCTACACTAAAACGGCGAAGTGGCAACCGCATCCGGAGGCTCAAGAGGGAAGATGGGGAGTGGACCGAGAGTGAGGAAGAGATGATGCAGATGGTGAGTCTTTTCCTTCGCACCCTTTTCACGGACCAGTCGAATTCGGTAGACTTCTTGGTTCCGGCTTTCCCTGCCCTCGATGACATGACCAACCTCGATGCTGAGCTGGTTGGGAGCGAAGTGGCAACAACACTAAAGAGCATGGGGCCCTATAAAGCCCCCGGGAAGGATGGATACCAACCTCTCTTCTTCCAACGATGCTGGGGAACGGTCGGTAATTATTTCTCCCAATTTGTTATGGATTGCTTCAGGTTCCCGGATTTGGTCGCATCTGTGAATGAGACGCTTATGGTACTCATACCTAAGAAGAAGTGCCCAGAGAGGGTTTCCGACTTGCGACCGATAAGTCTGTGTAACGTTTCCTATAAAACGTTTACGAAGTGTTTAGCCAACAGGCTGAAGCCCTTGATGTCGCAGCTCATCATGCCCAATCAAACGAGTTTTGTTCCCGGTCGGCATATACAGAGCAATATCATCATTCTTCAGGAGGTGGTTCACACTATGAGCATGAAGACAGGGAAGAAAGGGCAGATGGTGATCAAAATTGATCTGGCCAAGGCGTATGATCGGTTGAGTTGGAGCTTCGTGGTCAGTACGTTATTTGCTGCAGGGCTGCCGAAGAGGTTTGTGAATGCGGTCGTCGCCTGCTTAACATCCTCAACGATCGAGATCCTGTGGAACGGTGCTACGACAGAATCTTTCAAGCCGACCAGGGGGCTTCGCCAGGGGTGCCCGCTCTCCCCCTATAGTTTCACTCTGTGTATCGAGCGTCTGGGCCACCTAATTCAGGAGGATATGAATAGGAAGCGGTGGACACCAATCCAACTGGTTCGGGGAGGAACTGAGCTAACCCATCTTTTTTTTGCAGACGACCTGGTGCTATTTGCTGAGGCATTTGTGGAGCAAGCAGAGGTTATCAAATCTTGCCTGCAGAGGTTCTGTGAGGCATCGGGGGAGATCGTGAGTACGGATAAATCCCGAGTGTTCTTCTCAAAGAACACTAAACGAGATGTCTGTAAGGAGATTAGTGATCATCTCCAAATCCCAATGACACAGGACCTGGGGAAATACCTTGGTGTACCTGTTCTGCATGGCCGGGTGACGAAACATACTTATAAATATATCATTGATCGCATTGACCAACGCCTTGCAGGTTAGAAAGCGGAGAACTTGTCTCTTGCAGGTCGGGTTACGCTTGCTATTTCAGTGCTGAATGCCATCCCGTCTTATGTTATGCAAACATCAATGCTGCCAGCGGGAATATGTGACTACCTGGACCGCAAGATCAGGGCGTTCATTTGGGGCTCTCAAGAAGGTCGGCGGCGTATCCATTTGATCAATTGGGAAACGATCTGCCTCCCAAAATCCCAAGGCGGTCTGGGGTTACGGAATGCGCGAGATCTGAACACCGCCTACTTCTTGAAGCTCGCTTGGGGAATCCTCAAGCAACCAGGAGAGCTGTGGGTTCGGGTGTTAAAGGAAAAGTATCTCCAGGAGGGCCCAGATGGAGTGGAGCTCCGGCGAAAGACCCGCTGCTCTCAACTGTGGCGTGGAGTGCGGCGTGTGTGGGGTATGATGCTGGAGGGCGTGCGGTGGAGTATTCGGGACGGAGAGGAGACACTGTTTTGGCAGGATAAGTGGGTGGATGGCGATATGGTGTTGGCAGATCACTTGCTGTCGTCGGCTAGGGGAGTCGACCTGCAAGCCTCGGTCGCAAGCATGACCACCTCGACTGGTGAGTGGAATTCTGCTCTTTTATCTTCTATCCTTCCTAATGAGGTGTTTTTGCAGGTGATTGGGATGTCGCCGCCGCAGCCGGAACTCGGGAAGGACAAGCTGGTATGGGGACTGGAGGATAATGGCAAATTCACGCTAAAGTCAGCCTACCAGCTCGTGGCGGCGATCGATGGTGACGAGGCGCACACAGGGTGGAAAGCGGTGTGGAAATGGCCTGGCCCGAGCCGGGTTCGACATTTCCTCTGGCTGGCGACCCATGGCGTGCTCCTGACCAACGAGGAACGACGACGACGCCACCTTGCTACCAGCACGACCTGCCAGCGTTGCAAGCAGGACTCGGAGTCCCCAGAGCACGTGTTCCGTACCTGCAGGTTCGCGAGGCAAGTTTGGGAAGCAACCCTTCCGGAGGCAGCAGCGAGCACGGACTCAAGGGAGTTCAACGACTGGTTCATGCACTTTCTCTCGAACACAGAGTCTCAGGTTCGGTTTGGCTTTACTATATGGTTCCTATGGCGTTTGCGGAATGATTACATTTTCGCAGGCATCGAGGAGGCACCCAATAAGTTATCCCAAAGAATCCTAGCCTGGGAGGTCGTCGCGCAACAAAGCAGAGCAGCAGAACAAGCTATATCGCTGGGGAGGTCGGGGCTGCGTCGAGACGTGGCTGTTGGGTGGAGACCAGCCCCGACAGGTTGGCTCACAGTGAACTCCGATGGCTCGCTCCTGCGGGAATCGGGGTCTACTGTTGCAGGAGGTGCGCTTAGAGACGGGCAGGGTCGCTTATTGGGGGCTTACTCGATGAATCTGGGGAGATGTTCAATCACTCGCGTGGAGCTTTGGGGCGCCATACGAGGTCTTCAAATTGCCTGGGACCTCGGCTACAAAAGAGTGGAACTGCAACTGGATTCCACTACAGTTGTTCGACTTCTTTCTGAGACTACCTCGACGGACAACCAGCACGCCATCCTCGTGCTCTCTTTCCATGAACTCCGGAAGCGGGATTGGGAACTCAGAGTTACCCACGTTTACAGGGAAGCTAACTTCCTTGCTGACCATTTGGCGCATCTAGGCCATTCTCTTAGTCCAGGTACCCACCATGTAGATCCTCGGGATCCTTATATTAGGCAATGGCTGCTGTATGACTCTGTGGGCGGGTTTACCGTTCGTTCGATTGTTTAATTGAGGTTGCGGTGCTTTGCACCTTTTCACCCAAAAAAAAAAAAAATAGATTCTCCATCTACATCCAATGGTTTAGATGAATCAATTTAAAGAATGTGATAATTTGGTTAATTGGGGAGAGAAAATTTGTGTTGGAATAGAATTGATTGCAATTCAACTTCTTGAACATTGAACAACATTAAAATAAACAAAGTTCACACTTCTTTGAACAAAATTCAAATAAAGGTGTTTGATATTTTTTATAATTCACAAGACAAATCTACATTAAATTAGGCCATGCTTTTATGGAGGTTCAGTGAGAACTCCAGAACTACGACTGTGGCTAAAACTTGCAGATGAAAGATAACGGCAAACAATGTCTAAATCTGTCTTTTGCAAATTACTCATTCCTAATTTTTAAGTTTTCTTCATGGGTAGATCTAAAACAATCCCCTCGAGTCCACCAACCATATCCTCTCGAGTTCACTACATCCACTCACGTGCAATCAACGTCTCAAGACTCTAGTGACCTAGAGAAATTGAGCAGCTACAGAAGCGGAAGTAGCTCCGAAATGCTTTATTTTCGAATCTTCTTTGAAATTTAAACCCACAAATTCCACGTGTCTAAAAAATTATATTCTTCTCCGCACTATGGCTTCGATTTTTCTCCCACTACACCACTCATCTTCACATCATTACAACTTTTTTTTAATTTATTAACCACAACAGAACTATAATCGTACAACTTCACATCTTTCTCACCCAAAAAAATTATATCATGATGATTCAATTCTTTCCCTCGAAATTTATAACTCCGTGTCGTTGTCGTAGGGAATAAAACTACAACCAAATTAACGC